TGGAGGAGCACGAGGGGGAAGAAACAGTGGAGAGGGCGGTGGGGAAGGAGAAGGACACAAAGGGAAGGGGATTACAGAGGAGCGGAAAAACAAACCGCTAAAGTTATAACATTTGGAGGGGAGCGGAAAAGTAAACCGCTAATGCGAGTGGTTTATATTTCCGATCCTCCGCTTGTGGCTCGGCAAAAAAATCCCAAAAGAAAACTACGTCGTGCAAAAAGAAAACCTGAACAACTGTTGCCCCCGGGTCACACCGAAATTGGAAAAAAAAAAAAAAAAAATCTAAACCAAAAAAAAAAAAACCAACCAAAATTGAGAAATAAATTTAAATAATACAGTATATATCTCAACTCAGAAACTAGGTAGTAGGTTTTTTGCCTCCCTCCAAATCACCGTCCCAGCAAGATCAACGCACGGACTTTCGTTGAGTTCACTCAGTTTAGGGTTTAGTAAACATGGACGCAGTGGGGACCACACATGGACATATACACGCGCATGTGCGCAGACCTTGAAACTGGAAAGCAATTCGTCAATCTCTGCGTGCTCTCAATGCTGGGAATCTCTAAGGGTGGACTCCCTCACAGGATGACTTTTTGGAGTGATTTCTGGATGTCATTGTGGGCAGCTACGTACATCGAAGTGCGAAAGCGTGGGCAGATACGTCCAGAGAAGTCCTAGTGTCAGTATGCTCCGAGGAACAAGGCCATCTTGTTCTCCCCCTGTCGGTGCTTCTATAAAACTTAAGTGGGGACCACGTCAATAGCCCCCGGCTGTCATTCAAAACACCGGCTGCCGGAGGAAAAGCTTGTCCGCTCATCTTACCCACGTCTTGTCACCCCACAAATAAATGATTGCTTGTGGGTGAAGGGTGTGAACTTGACCGCGTGAATGATAATTCATAGAAACTACAACCCACCCTGGTCAGAATGCTTGACACCCAATTGCGGCGGAATCGTGCATTTTGTGGGGGCACTGGGGGGAAAAGATCCCAAAAAAAAAAAAAAAAAAAAGAAGGTTGTACGACAATGGGTTTTGTTATCATAAAGGGCAGAGGCCTCGAGATATCATCGCAAGACTGACCGGCCCAAAGTAATTTAGCAATTTGGTTCGTCTCCAAGTTCGCCTGCTGCTTCTAGCATGATTCCGACTCCGGTCGGTCTGTACTTCAACGGTTTACGGGTGTACCAACTGATCTAGGCCCAGGGATTGTGGATTACACCCCAAATTTTAAGAGGGGGCATTACCCGGCTTCTGTTTTGGGGATTTAGTTCTCAGCTGTGACATGCTGCCGGCGGCAGCCGAAGTGGAAACAAGCGGATGTTCCGTGTCGTTTGCAATAAAGCTGGGTTAGTGTGCGGTGCCCGACCGCTTGTATGGGGCGTCCAGCGTTTTCATTCTGCTTGGGAGGGATTCAGAAGACCATTCACGAAGGTGAATGAAGGTGCGTACCAGTTTGGAAATGCTTGCGTGGAGAAAACTATGTGAAAACTATGTGAAACATAGGATGAATGGACTTGTGTCCTAGGCTCCTAGATAGCTTATTTTCCACAGGCCGGGGGGGGGGGGGGGGGGGGGGGGGGGGGGGGCGCAGTGCGAATGCCGAGAGGGACGAGGTTTAATTAAGGAAGGTATATTGTTGGCATGTGCATGTTTCTGTGAACGGGTAGATGGTGCTTTACAGAAGCGTTCGTCATTTCATTGTGGTGGACAGTGGGTCGTGGCAGAGAGGCCTGCACTCGTATTCTCCCCCTTCTTCTCTTGGATGTACATATATGCTTGCCGGTGATAAGTAACCGGACTGTTTCCCCCCAGAATAGAAGAGCCCTGCAAATTTCGGGGGGGGGGGGGGGGGGAGGGAAACGAAAAAAACAAATGCACGGCGCAGGGTCTTCCTCCACTGCCCATAGAAAACATAACATATTTGTTAGAGCCGCTGCTGCTGTATTTGGAGGAACTTTCAGCCTAAATACAGTGATAATGACTGGGCATTTTATTACAGGATCACGGAAATAAATTAGAACTTATAAAAGGCAATGCTGGATTACACTGGGCCTTGGAGTCAGTTCCATGCCCATGTGTCAAGGCCTCCGCGCATTGGACCACAGTGCCTTTGGCCAACATTTTTCCTACGGTGGAAACACCCTGTGCGCAAAGGAAAAACGAACTGGCGTGGGCCTTCTTTTGGACGGTGCCACCGGCCATTTCGCTCAGGTAGCCCAACCCCCGAGACCCGCGGTAGTTGTGCGTCGTAGAAAAATGGCTGGTGGTTTAAACACACACACACACACACACACACACACACACACACACACACACACACACGCAAAGTTTTGTTTACGTCTGTGCTTTGCTTGTTGCTCGTCCTTTCTGCGATTTTTTCTTACTTTCTGTGTGTGGTTAAGTGAGCACCTTTAAGCAGTGCTAAATAGTAGGTGGTCCGTTGCTTGGAGCGCCTACAGGGTAGTTCGTTGATGTCTGCATGATGCATATGGTCTATGGGTGATGGCAGACATCTATCGAAGTGCCTCCCTCGTTCAGCGGGTGGTGGGGAACCAACAGTCTGATGATGTGAGTAGGTGCTGTGGTGAATGAGAGAGAGATGGTTAACGGAGACCTAAATTTTCATATGGCTTGCGATGCCATTTATAACAATACCGAAGAGTCATTTTATCCAAACTTGCCAGCAATTTATAGAGTGGAGACCATACTAACTAATTGAAAAAAAAAAATTGAAAAAAAAAAATTGTAAAAAAAACAAAAACTATAAGACAGGGAGGCAAAAGTGCAAAAAACTATAAGACAGGGAGGCAAAAGTGCACTTTCATGTAAATTTCGCAAACATTCAATTTCAGAAATCTTGAGAAATTTCAGAAATCTCAGCACAGGAAATTCCAATGCTCCAAATGAGACCAAATTTGGTACACCCAGACGTTGACCAAAACCAAAAACAGGAAAGAAAAAAGCAAAAAAAACCCTCAAACCCTAATTTCAGTTTCGGGTCTGTTGGTCAGGACCTGAAAATGGGGGTGCCCATTAACGATTAGTGACAACGCTCCGCGTGTTGGATGTGTAGACTACCTTGTCTGTGCTCCGCCATTGCCTTCCTGCCCGTTCCGCTTGCTTCGCAGAGGTCGTTCTTAACAAGCTGTTGTGTTCACTGTGTGGTGTGGCTGTGCTCATGGTGTTGCCTCGTGCTTCGCTGGTATGCTCCCTTGCCAGCCATCCGTGTGCCGTGCCTTGCACCTCCTTTGCTTGTGTGTCGTGTAGTGTGGCTGCCTTGCTGGTGCTGCCTTCTGCTTCACCACGTGCTTGCTGCACTGCACGTCCGCTTGCCCTGTCGTTCCTTGCAGTAGTCTTTGGCATTGAGCAGGTGTGCTGCCTCTGCAGCGTTGCCTGGTGCTTCGCTGGGTCGCTGCTTGCTGCTGCTTGCTGCTGCTTGCTGCTGCTATGTTCCGCTTGGGGACAGTCTGCCTTCAACATGGGTCAAACGGTTCATGACCCAGACCATCAAATGCAGAGATTCCACGGATTGCCGAGGGTTCCGCCTCCTGATGAGTCCGTGCAACTCCGACGAAACAATGTTTTAACATCAGTTTTTTTTTTCTTTCTTCTTTCCAGTCTTTTCTTTTCTTTGGGACCTGTATATATTTTTTGGCTTGTCTGTCTTGTGTGCTTTGTGTGTTGCCTGCCCTTCTGCCTTCTCCGTTCCCTTCATCTTTTGTTCTGCCTTGTTGCCTTATGACTTTGTGTGCCCACCCACCTCCCCCTTGCCCTCCTGCCTTTGTTCTCTGTTGCTGCTCGTTCTCACATGCCTTTTTGACTCATGTTTTTCCTAGACTGAACCTTCATCCTCTGTCATTCGCTTTCCCCTTGTTGCCTTGTATTGTTCGCCATAGCGCTGTTCATCTGCCCACCCGCCTTCGCCTTCCCCATGTCCTCCACCTTGTGTTTTTTGCTGCTGCGTGCTGTTCGATGCCTTGTTGTTTGCGTACCTTTGACCCTGCCATTGTGTTCAGCCTTATTGTTTTTTGTCTTGGCTTGGTTAATTGTTTTTTGTCTTGCTGCCATTTGGCTTGGTTCTTGCCTTATTGTTCCTTTTGCTCGACGACCTTTCAAACCTTGGCTTTATGCGCATTCCTCTTATGGGCATGCCGGGCTGTGGGCTCTTTTCCATGTGTTGTCCATAAGCACACCTCTTGACGCAACATGCCGTGGCATAGTTGCGGGAACCTTATACCACACACACACACACACACACACACACACACACACACACACACACACACACGCACACACGACACGCACACAT